GATGCACTGCAGTTGTTAAATTGTATTTTTTCAACTTTAGCAGAATATCGATAATGTTTTGTAATTCATTTGTAATGGCAGCGCAGCTAATGACTGCCGTTTCTAGCACTACGCTTAGTGGAAAGTGAACCTCTGCCTTAGTTTCAAATTGCTGCAGCCTCACCGGTTTTATTCCCAGTATTTAGCTCCACTAACTGTGACAAGGCCTGTAGATGAAAAACACCCTTGCAACAAGTAAACAAATAAAATCTAAATAAAAGACTTTAAAGTTTATTATTTTAACATAAAAATGGGTAAAAGTTAAAGGTGGTTGAGTATAAGCCACCGTATCCCATTTGGTTTGGTTGCCACTTTGAGTTTTCTCACATTATAGGCTACAGAGTGGAAATCTCTACCTCAAGGACAACTCACTTCAAGTCCTTCTGGTATCTTAACTTGGAACAATGGATCTTCCTTTTGCAGGATGCGCCACTTGCAGATGTTTGCCAGCCCTGTAGCCTTTTGGCCCAGGAGGTTTCTTTGCCTCAAAGCTGACTGCTGGCAGTGCTTTTCTTTATGAACCACAGCCAGATGAGAAAATCCCAGATTTGTCTAACAATTGCTTTCCTCCTCTGTGTGATAAAGAGGCCTGCTTATTGTTCCAGTCACTCCATTTAAAAGCCAGTTTGAGGAAATAACAAAGGCAACATTTGGCTTTTTTGCTTAAAAAAATGGTCAAGGTAGTATTTATAGAAGGGCAAAGAGATGATCAATGAACAGGGCTTCTGGTTCTTTATATTTGACGTAAAAACTGAGGCATACTGAGCAGATGTGGTTTGAGATGCTCATGAATCCATTTGTAGCAAAGCGAAATCTTAGCAGAGAACAAGCATGAGTGAGGAGGTGAATGGGGAGATTTCTATCAGCTTGCAGAAAGATCACACTCTGCAGTTTGCCCGTAGGCCAGAGACAAGCTGTGGGAATAAAGACAGACACCAAATAAGTCCCTGAAGGCCTCTGTTGGCCCAGATGGAGAACAGTGGAAAGGGGGGAAAAATCAGCTGGGTGCTGCACAGCATCAGAATGAAGAGACTTAAAACAAGGGAGGGGAATACAAAGCCTCTGGGCTGAGCTGGAGAGGCAAGGACAGAGAGGAGGAGTCCGTGGTTAGAATCCCTCATTGTGACTTTGCTAAAAGTGGAGAGGAAGAAAGGTGGGGCCCGTGTGTGGGAAAACTCTTTGTAGCGGCTGGTAGAGATGTAAAACTGGGATGTTCTTGCTGGTTTTTAACTAATAGGAGTGGAAGAAGTCATATTTTGACTAAAAACCTAATATGAAATGTATAATTGAAGCAAGTGTGTTCAAACTCTTGGTACCAAGCTTGTTCCTGGTGCAAGTGAACTCTACCAGGGTTGCACCGAGTTTGAGCCCGTTTGTGGTGCTCAGGCATGGACCGGTATGAAATTATTTTCTTTAGAATATTTTGATGTGAATGCATAGGTGATTGACCTCTTGCTACCAGAAACACTGCTGTTCTCAAAAAACTATTAGGATAAATGAGTTAATTTAACTAAAGTTTTATATTAGCCCATCACCATAATCTCTACATATAGTCCCTCAACTTTGTCTTTAGAAGCTGTGTTGAGATCACATGTGCGATGCTGGAATGTCATCCCCTCCAGCATTAGTTCTTGACTACTTGATTGTTGGTACATAATTATTCATTTCTAGACAGCATAAACTTCACCTTGAATTTAGCAAATAATGTTGCATTCTCTGGCTGCTGCTGTTCGTAAGCACATTTTTTACATAGAGCAATGTTCTTCAGACCAAGTTGTCAATCTTACGGTTGCCGTAGTATTCCCACATTGTCATAATACTGCAGCAACACGAGCGATACTGTAGGAACAATACGACATATAATTTTTGTAGTTTTGAAACTGACTTTTATATGGTGGTATGAAACCAGTAACCAATCCATACCTATTAGTGCTCAAAGACAGGATCTCAAGGATTAGATGTGGTGGACCTCGGGGGTTTTTGCTTTTTCTGATATCATGTGTTTCTATTTGCATCTTCAAGCCATGACCTTTGTCTTTATCGGCATCAACACTTGTTGAAACTCAGTCTTTTCTCCATTGAAGACGTTCCAGTATCTTCCTTTGGATTTTTGGTAGGAAGAAGCAAAAACTGGACTGAGGGATTTAGGACCATGTTTGCATTAATGAAGGACTGCATGTCCTTTCTAGCAGGGGAATCCCTAGAATAAGCAGAAACCCTCTGGGATGTCAGGTTTCCCTCTAGGAGCTACTACCTCTGTGCCCTAGTTTTGGATAATAAGACGTTGAAAATTGTGTTAAAAAGACTACAGCCAGACTGCATTGCCTTTGTCTGTAATTTTATCGATTTCCTCCAAAGTATTGATGCTTTTGTCCATTTATAATTGAGCATGTAGGTTTACAAAAGAAAAAGATAAAACTACATGAGTGCTTTGGGACATTTCATGGCATATTTTGTCTCTTTATTCGGCTGTGGAAGGAGTCCTGAATTGAATCAATTGACTTATTTCCAGCTGACAAAAGCTCCTGTTTTCTCTCCGAGATGAAACTTGGCACGCTGGCACGGGTTTAAAGGCGTTTGATCGGCAAACAATACCCAAATGGTACGAGGCAATTTCACTCGCTTTTAAGAATAAATCAATTTGTTTTGAGAATATTCATGAGCAATCATTTCCAGATAATGCCTTAACTCGGGAATGTTTCAAGGTATTGGTGCAAGACGCAATTACATTTGCAATGCAGAGCGAGGAATTATCTCACCTGAATGGAAAAAGAATGAAATGAAGTCTGAATACCAGAATAAATACCTAATGTTTAGGGATAATCTCTGCAGCGAGACTTTCACTTCATAATTATCCTTCCTCTCTACATTAGCAGGGCCAGTGTTCCCGTAGCTGATCACACTGTTGTTTTCTTTGGGCTATTCTGGGAAGCATGAGCTAAACACCAACTTGTGGCTTGAACTGTGCAATTTTATAGACCAGAATAGCAGCCTAGGGACAACGAGCCTTTAATCAGAACAGGGTTCAGGTTTTTCCAGTGGGTGAAAACAGAGAAAGTGCAAGAAGGGCCGGGTTCAACTGTACGAGAGCAATCTGGAGCCTAGAATCAGACTGAATTGGTTGTAATTGGTGAATTAGGAGGTTTTCCTCCAAAGGGAAACTGTGTGTGATGTGTCAGCGTGCATTTGGCTGCAGCCTCCTGCAGTGAAATGAACTTTGAAAGCAGCTTCAGTTTGGTCAGAGCTGAGGTTGAAAGCCCTTTTTGATCAACACTGTGTGTGTTGCTCTGTTTGGGATGTGTTTTTATGCGTTTGTGGTGTGCCACCTCGTAAAAGTCTTGTTATAAAACAAGAATAGGACTAAATATGTGTGTCTTGTTCGATTTATACACTAAACTCACTTGTGTTTCTACTTGACTGCACACTGACAATTGCTTAGAAAAGTACTACGCAGGATTTTTATCCAACTTTCTCAGCCAGGAGAGAGAGAAGGACAGTGAAGAAAACATGGGGCGCCTGCTGCAGGTGCATCCTTCAATGCATAGCGCGCTCACGAGGGGCATATGCTACCCTGATTAACACAAACATTAGGATGACATTAGTGCTGCCTCCCTCAGAGAAACACCCCCAGAGCAGCTGCTAGCTCTTCCTCAACTTCTTCAATATGCACAAACTAGCATCTCTGCCTCCCACTCACTCAGGAAAATTGACATTTTGCAACTTTTCTTTGGAGAAAGTTGATAATTGATGGGAATGAGATTTTGTTCTTGTTACTTCCCTATATATTTAACTTTGGTGTCATAAAAACAATATTCAAACATTTCAATGTTGACAATTAGAATATTTGCCTTCAACTTGCAGAATATCAGCAGTTTGTTTGTTTTGTTAGAGCTGTGATGTCATTTTTTGCTATCGAGAAATCAAAAGAAAGAGGAGTGTGCGTGCTCGGGCCGATGTGTGTCTTTGACTGACAGTCAAGCCAGCAGGGGAGCAGAGGCACAAGAACGACCTAAATGTGGCTTACAAGCTGCAGACAAAGGAAAATCTGTCTGAATATTAACATCCACGCCGAACCGATGTTACCAGCTCGTTTTTCCAACGGTTGCTGCCTGTTTGCATCAACACGGGGATCAGGTGCAGGATAACACACGCGTCCATCCGTGTGAATAAAAAGCAGACATGACAACCCTCATTTGGATTATTGTTTAAAGCTTGAGGGTAATTCTCTGTGTGAGAGCGAGAGAGTGTTTTGGTTAATCAGACCATTTTGTGGCTCGTAGCCAATGTCACAATCAGCCATCGCCAGAACGATGATGTTTACTGCTTCATCCTAAATGAAATGTTAGTTCTGGCAGGAGGCCATAGTTTATGCTCATTATCTACGGAGGCAGAGCTTCAGCCATGGAGCCGAGTAGAGTGAAATAGGTTTGTCCATTTTATAGTTTTGTTGGTGTTCTTCTATTCAAATGTTTGTAAAAACAAAAAAAAGTTTAAATATCCTTTTGAGCTGAAACAAATAATCTATTATAGAAATAATTATAAACTAATTTAGTAATCGATTAATGGTTAACTGGAGTAGAGACTCAAACAAGTCACTTTTTTTGAGTATGCCATCTCAAGTGGCATAAGGTTAGCTTCACTGGTTTAAACTCTGTAAAAAAGAAAAGCTCTCTTTTCCTTAATGCAAAAATCAATTAATCTGTGAATTATCAAGTGTACAACAAGGGATAATATAAAATGTTTATTTAAAAAAGGAATTGAATTATTTATGTGCATCTTTTTTAATATGGTTTAAAAAAAGTTTAATAAAAAAAATCAGAATGTGCCAAGTTTTTTAACTGCTTAATCATCTGAAAAACCGATTACTAAAATAATTGACAGTTCTGCGCTAATATTATTGTAGTTTTTTTTTTTTTTTTTTAGTATATTTTCTTTGCTTCCACTTCTGTCCATCTCTGCAGATTTCCACAAGACACCATCACTTCTCTGGCAAATCCTCCAGCAGGACTGGCCTGCCAGAGTGCCTGAATCCTTTATGAGTCAACCTGAACCTGTCAGATAAAAGCAGTGATGGCCTGTCACCGGGATAAAAAGGTAAACTAACTATATCAACACCAATACCATAGACAGTTCCCAGATTTCTGACTTTTATTTCCACTCTGGAGTTGTTTCAGTCACAGATGAATAACTGGGGGTTCATTAGGACTGTGGGCACAGAGAGAAAAACATCATTGGGGGGCTTTGGCTTGTGTTCATGATGCACCCTGCACAGTTTAACACACTGCCCATATACGTGTGTGCGCGTAGGCCATATATCACGGTGACAGGCGGGTGCGTGTTTACTTAATGATGTGGGGGTTTATTTATGAAGTGATGGCCGACATGCAGGGGGGGTGGAGGGAGAGATTGAGACAGCCCGAGGATGTGACATTAAAATATCATCAAGGTGATGGATGTCCGTGCACAAAACATTAGAGACAAGTACAAAAAAAGCAGCTGCGCAGCAGATGATGAGTTGTATCTGGAGTTGGGTGAGCGCTGCACTGCGTGCATGTTTTCTAATGACTGAACGTGTCATTGCAAGTGCAGTTTTCAGCGACTTCTCTGGGCATTTAAGGTGGCATATGTGCAGTTGCTGTTGGCTGTATTGCTCAGGGTGACGTCTTATGTGTTACTCTGTTACATAAGGAGTGAAGAATGCAAGTTCACATGATGCAAATCATTCAGTTTTTAAAACTGGTTGCTATAAGATAGGTTTATCAAAATTCATTTTAGTCACTATGAAGTCACTTTTTGTCCAATTATTGCAACTAGAGAGCAAATGTGAAGCTGACAAACAGGATTTCTACAGCCTAGGTGTAAGAGTTTGCTGTTAAATAATAAAACCTTATACAGGGTGGGCCATAAGTTTCCATACATACAAAAAAATAAACATTTTATATTGGACAACCGTTTTTATTTTTGTGGGACTCTGTGTCTTGGACCACTTTGTGGTTGATCTGCAACATTTCCAGTTTTCTGAAACTTGCAAATAAGTTTTGCCACAGTATCGTGTATGATACTCGTTCCATGTTTTCTGTTAAAGCAGTCGCATGTGCAACCATGCGACTGCTTCCCGATCTAGTCATCAGTATAATTTTAATTCTTTGCTCTTTTGTCAAATGCATCTTTTTGGGTATCTGAAATATAAAAGAAATATACATTTTACACTCTACTATGTATGGAAACTTATGGCCCATCCCTGTAGCTAACATTAAACTGGGAAAACATTTGATTATGTCAGTCTTAGTAAAAACAGCTGATTACTAAAAACCATGTGATTGCATCGATGTTGTGATACATTGTGGTATTTTCACTTAAAGCTGCCTTATGCAACACTTTGACAAAAAAAATATTATTTTATACATTTGTTGAAACTGTCACTATGTTGTTTATATATATATATATATATATATATATATATATATATATATATATATATATATATCTCAAGCTCCTCTGCCTTCTTCTAGTGCTAACCAGAAACAACCAATCAGAGCCAGGAGGCAGGTCTTAATGATGTCACTCACCTCTGTGTGGCGCTGATCAATCCCTGTAACATTAAGTTGTTTCTCTTCCATTAGTACAGTAAGCAGCGAGTACATGAGAATGATTGACAGCACTATGAGACACCATGCTGTCTCATACTATCACAGCATGGTGACAGTTTTAACAGTTTAAAGCTATAGTATGTATCTTTTTTAAACAATATGTTTTCTCCCTGTGGTCTTACTGCTATCTGCAGAAATATACCACTCTGTCAAAGACAACCAATCAGAGCCAGGTCCAGGGTCTTACCACTGTTCACACCCTCTCTCTTGCTCACTGATAGGCTAAAGCTGGTTCACTACAACACAGTCTGCCATGAATTGCCATATTGCTTTAATGGTGGCAAGTGGCCAGAGCAAAATACAAAACATTGCTAATCATTTTGAGCTCATAAAATATAATCTTGGTAACCTTTGATTTTATCATTGCTAATGTCCTTTTCTAGTTACACAATAACATTAAAGTGAAATCCAAAAATAATGTGCATGTCTTCTAAATAAGCAAAGGAACCACTGCATAATCATAGAGTCGACTGGAGGAAAAAGCTGGGACAAAAACATTTTTTGAGAAATGGGGCGTCTGCAGGAAAATGTTCCAGCCAACTCATCTCATGGAACAAAGGAGATGAAACTTGCCATGTACTTTCAAGCCTTAATTGGCCATCAAGACATTACAGAGAGTCTATCATTAGCATATAGAGAAAATAGAGTGAGTGCTGCTCTGTGATTGGCATAATTACAAGGATGACCTATCCACAGACAGCGAAACATGGCGGAGGGGTCAAATTAGAGACGGATGTGGAGACAGATACATAGGAGGATCCGGGGTTAGAGGGAGGAAACAAAGGGACATGAAGTCACTTCTGAGCACAGTGACACTTTCAAAGATCTTCAACTCATCTCAGACTGCTAAATGAAGAGTCCTACATAAAGAGCCCACAGCCTTTCATCCTCACTTTTGTTTCTATCTCTTTATTCTAGTGAGCTAGCCCTATCTTCTGGCTCAGAGGAGCCAAAGTAGACATACCCGTCCCTTTCAAACACACATAAAACACTCAGAGGAAGAATGGCACTCCTGGCCTTGTGTGGAGAGCTTCGAAAACTGTTTTTTTTTTTTTTTATTTTTTTTTTTTTTATGTTTCAAGGCTGCAGATACAGGCGAGCATAAAAGAGCAGCGCTGCGTGGCGGAGGTGGCGAGGAAGGTGACGGCTAAAAGCCTGATCAAACAAGGCCGACGCGAGCAGCTCGCTCAAGTGGTCTGCATTTACGCTCCACTCATACCACACACAGACTGGAAATAGGCAAATGTGGAGTAATATCCTGCTGAATCAAACACCGATAGCTCCACTTTGTCGGCAGCTGAAGGTGAACAACCCTCAGCGTATGAACAAATGAGCCCACTTCTGCCCTCTGCTTCACTCTATTATAGCCTATGTAATAAAGAGTTAGTCCTATTTTGTGTTTAACTTAAAACAAACTCTAAATTTATCACATTTTGTCAGATCAACTCAACTTTGTCTGCTGATATCCCTCCATTTATTTTTTAAAACAAGTTTGAGGAGAAACCTGGGTAATGTATGATGAAGTATCAGAAAATTGAAGAGTACATTTCAACCAAAACACTATTATTTTATTTCACAAATTATTAGTGTCGACATTGATGATGATTATTTAGTTTTTGTTTTAAATTTCTCAAATAAATGCTAACCATAGCTCATTGCAGCTGTTTGCTATCATAGATGAGCTAAAACGAATTATCAGTTTTTATTAACCTATTTGCTTAACAAAAACGTCCCTAATTTGGGAGTGTTTGATAGATTGTAGACATGTGAATGTCTACATAGAGTTCTGGTTATTTTTCTAGAGGAAATAAAAAAAATGCAAATACAGAAACTTTCTGGTGTCATGTTTTTCCTTTTGTTTACCTCATATACAGTTATTCTCAGTGTTTTACTGTTTCCATTCACACCGTGAATGTGAGCAGGTTTGTGCGACTGCAGCAGGAGTGTTTCATTATCGGGCTCCTCAGGGGAGGAACCTGCTGAGGCTTCTCACTATGGACACCACTCTTTTTTTTTTTTTCCCTTGTCGTACAGGGAAAAAAAAAAAAAAAAAAAAAAAACATTTCGATCAGAAGCTACAGTGCATACTCACTGTGCTTTAATTGCATCAAAGTTCCTGCGCAGGCAAACTGAGAAAGGAACGCAGGGAGCACGGGATGTTATGTACTGAGTGACAGAACCCTGCAGGCCTAAACGACAGAAACTGTGCCATGCCTGGGAGGGCCTAATGAAGACTGATTCACAGGACTGCATTGCTCAATAAACACTAACTACAGCAGGTGAGGAGGGGAGCACAGCTAGAGGCAGGTCGTGTCAGCTGATTGGATATCAGCGACACCGTCTGTAAATCCATCTCATATTTCCCACATGGCTTTGCATCTGTTTGTGCTCAGGTGGATTACTAAAAGATAAATGAATCCAGCTGTGCAGAAACGCCTTTGCAGATCACTGAGGTTTAGATGAAGAGCGTCTGATTGGATCAAAGTGTGATTTTCTGCATCTTTAGGCTGACCGTAAAAAACAGCCTTGTTTAAAATGGGTGATAAATGGCTGTCGATTCACAGGCTGAGTATGCTGAGTTTGCGAGTGTAAAGAAGTAAATCAAATGATTCCTCAGGCTGGATCAATGACGGTTCAGGGACACTTAGCTCTGCAGCTTAAGAGAGGCAACAAGCAAGTCTGGCGTTTTAGTGCACTGCTGCTCGAGGAAGGAAAAATAGTATGCTAACTCACCCGATTTGGGTCGTGCTCCAGAGCTCTGCGTCTCGCCGCCTCCAGCTCCTCGTAAGCCGGAGCGGCTCGGGCCTGCTGGTACTCCCTACGCAATCCCTGGATCCGCTGGTCGCTGAGGAGAGAAGGAGGCAACATCACAATTAGGCAGACACAAGAGGAGATGATTAATTAAGACTTGAAGGCTGGAGTTAAAGAGTAAAAACAGGTCAAAGAGGAAACATATGAGGCTTAAACTTTCATTACATTGACAGGTTGTCTATCTCAGCTGCAGCAGCCGCTGACAGCACAGGAAGGGAGAATATTCAGAGGACAGCCTGAAGAGAAATTTCTACACCTGACAGAAAACCCGGTGGAGAAAATGGAAAAGAAACGGTAGCAAATAAACACTAAAACCACTCCAGTCAGACTAGGCTAACACAAATAAATAAATAAATACATACATACATAAAACCCTAAAAAAACAGGAAGTACTGGTGTAGTGATGGGAACAGGACAGAATGGGGACAAAACTTAAAGAGAAACATCACCATCATGCTCACTGGACCTTAATGCCGGATAAGCTTCACACACCTGAGAGTACAAGCATAAACCAGGGTGGGAATGAACACACACGAACACACAAAGCCATCGACAAACATCACACACCTGAGCGAACACAATCCCAGTGTCTGATCTGGGTTTACTGGTGTCTGAGGGAAAAATGGCGGCCGACTCTGACACCAATAATTTGTTCTCAGAAGTTGTTTGCAATTATTTCTGTCATTAAATGTTTTGTCCTCTGTGTTCTTTTCTATAGAAAGTAGGGTTGCAACTCATTATTTAATTTTGGTGATTAATCTGATTAAATAGGCACAGTCTGCAGATTTGTCATTTATGCCTTTTTTAAACAATATTAGAAATGCATTAAGACATTAAAATTATTTGTTTACAAAGAAACAATTCAATTTCTTTTTTTGTTGCAGAAATTGATCCAGGTGAAGCTGAAACAGATGCCACCTGAGGAGTTTTTGGAAGAACATATTCACAAAGTTTCTTTTTAATCTTAAATGCAAAACATATATTCCTGTAGAGTTTGGGCTCGGTATGCTGTTCTTTTAGGAATTGGCCATTTTTGAGTATGTATACTCCAGTTAATAATTAATTACTCAGTAGGTTATTTCAATAATCAATTCATCACAATTAATGCAATTAATCACTTCAGCACAACATTAAAAAGTCTAGTAAATTTTACTGTATTGATTCAACTCGACTGTAAATGGATTTGAATCTGATTGTATTACACTGGAATCAAACTGGATTCTCTATAACTTGAAACAAAATACTTGAACTGAATCAATCAGAACAAACATTTAAACAACAAACTTTCCAAATCAAGAACAAAGTCTGTAAAACCCAAAACAACCAATCAGGGAGGCTTTATGCCGCCTGATAAACACCAAACCTCACTTCCAATAGTCTGGCAGATATTGACCAGTGGGGAGGAAGAGCTGAGGCGTGAGGCAGACAGAGCTTCATTAGCGAAGTACATCGCCTACATGCTTAAGTCTCTCCGGCGACCCTGTCTTTAATTAACAAATCTGCGCGAGAGTGTGTTTTTCTGCACGACTACAATCTCAAGGTTGTATAAAAGTGTGTATCTGGACGTGAGCTCATTTGGTATGCGGGACACTCGGTGAGGACGTGCTTCTCACCATGCGCACGTACTCTCACTCCATGCCGCCCGTCTTCCAGCCGTCTCACTGGGGACGGACGGGCTGAGTCACTCAAACTTCTGAGCCACTATGTTTATATTCCAAGTGTTGTTCCCATGCTGCACAAATCTGTGTGTGTGTGCGTGCGCTTGTGTGTGTATCTGCTGGCACAAAACTCGGCCCTGATATTCTGCCAAGAGGGGGCAACTCTCTAAAGTTTCTGTGCTGCAGTGAAACGCCTGTGCAGATTTTTCTGCTGCATACCGACAGTCATCAGCCTGGCACAAAAACCTAAACATAAAAACAAAGCTTTTGTCTCATTTATCTGCTAAATTTACCAACCAGTATCACCTGCACACAAATAGATTCAGAGAATAGATGCAGGTTGTCTTGTTTTTCTTTTCCTTTTTTTTCCCTTGACGCCACTCGTCTTCCAACGATCCCATTAGCCAATCCCTGGGCTCGTAATTAGGTCTGCCATTTTGATTGAGCGCTCGTGTCGCTCTCCAAATGAAACAACGCTGTAATTATCTCATTATGCCGCGGCCTCCATCACTGACAACGGCAAATATTATCATATTAATGGCTGAGGACAGAGCCTGATTCTGGATAAAACGTTAGTGAAGAGTGATTTTGGAGGTGGCTGAGGTTTGTGAAGAAGAACTGATGGCTGAACGAGTGCATCTGGTGTGTCCAGTCACCCATCTGCAATTTTTTTCTTATATAGTAAATTAGAATATCATTAAAAATTTTTTTTATTTCAATAACAATTCAAAGAAGAAATTCCTCTCTCACAATGTGATATTTGTTTTGCTTGCATGCCATAAATTCAGCCTTTTAACAAAGAGATGTAGCCAAAGATCTAGGTGGAAAGTTTAGTTGAAGGAAAAGGTTTTGGGTTTGTGAAGAAAAATCTGTGCAAGAGTTTGGAGGAGATTTACTAGGACTGATCACTGCACACAGCAATGATCACAGGTGTAATAAAATAGTACTCAGCATGATATCCAATCACTGCTTTTTGCATCATTTATTTGATCACAAAACATGTCTGACTAGGCACTGGCACAGAAAATAGATTGAGATTAAATGTGGAGAGAAAGAAGGCATGAGGGAAAAAAACACAACAAAGACCAACACAGGAAACTTAGAAACAACCACAAAAATATCTATAGTGAGACTAAAAGCGACGGTTTTGTGAGAGAAAGTCTGAGTAAAGCCTCCTATCCTGCGGTGCGAGGCTGTGTGAGGGCAGACTAATTAGGAACCGTGTGCTGCTGCTGGCTGATTTAGCGACTTGTTCAGGCTGTGGCCGGCTGATTTGAGGAAAAAGTTTGGGCTCGGATTTTCCCTCACATCAAATGATGAGGTTTGTCTGACTTCTTGGTGCCACACTGGAGCCAGACGGCGACTCAGAGAAGCTCAAAGCTTAAAAGATGTTGTGATTGCCTTGCTGAACTGTCCACATTATCCCTGACTGCAGTTCGTCTGGTACATACAAACTTCTAAAAACACAATAAATTTTACTTCCTTCAACTCTTAACTCCTAAATCCAAAAAGAGGAAGAAGTTCTACCATCATAAACACAAACATTTGGAATTTGCTTAACTTTTGGGGGGCTTTAAAAGGAATTGTTTGCTTTGGTCTGATGAGGCTAAATTTGGAATTTTTCAGTAAAAAACACTCCTGGACTGTCTGGTGTAAAACAAAGGATGGCTGTTTAAGATGATACTGTTTCTGTCACTAGGTTTCCAGGCATTATAGAATCTAGTTGATTATCCAATTAAACCAAAAATGATACTTCACTTATTCTTTAAGGTATATAACAGAGAATAAAGTCTAAAATCAATGTAGACAGCAATCAAAGCTCCTCATCAGCCATCTTTGTTTATAAATCCTTGTGGATGTCAGCAGAACTGCAGGTTATAATGGTTAAGTGAGGAAAAAGTTAAAAAATAAGCAGACTTGAAGCAACAGCTGCATGCAAACATTCTGACTCTGAAGTTCAAGTAATCACTTCAAACTACCCAACTATTTCCAGAAAACATGACCAGAAGCGCCTGAAACCATATAAGACATGTGTTTTTGATTGCGTTTGTGGAAAAATAAAATACTTTCAAACTCTGTAAATCCTGCAAGCTGAAATGAGAGAGCACAAGTAAAACGGTGAGCGGAGCTTAACGGGCATCCAATACTTATGACGTCTTGTTCTAAAGTGAGTTTCATTTCCGCTTGTCCTCAGGCTGAGGCGGCCTGGCAGAAAACAACAATATACCTTTTGCTAACATCTTTTACCTTCCGTCTGGATGCCAGTGAAACTTTTTCCTCAAGAGCTGTGAAATCACACAAATCAGCGTCTTGTGGATTGTGTAGCATTGTCTGATAATATTTCAGTAATTAGTCACACCTGTCCAAAGTGATTTAAGATGCCTACTTCCTGGCGGTGTCAGGTAAACTCAGAGGCATGTAATCCTGCTGCCGTCGCTTGAACCATGGCGGAAATGCAGAAACGCACTCCCAGATGTGTCACTTATGTAGCCGACAAGCTAACCCTGGGCTTCCTTTTCTCTGGCTTTAACAACACATTTCTGCACTCTAACCTCC